CAGAAGTACCCCCATCCTAGAAGCACCCTAACACCAGTCCTTATCCTGATCCAGATCCAGTTCTAATTGTTTAGTCCTGGGCTTGGGGCTGGGAAGGAAGGGGAACCCTTCTGCTTGCCCAGCAATACCTCAGAAGAAATGTTTTGAGATCTAGTTGAATGGAGGTAAGTTGCTCAGAGGTCCTGCTTACTCATACCAAAACCGGATAGTCACTTTAAGACCTCCATTTTATTTGAAACACATTAAGTATGACTATTTTATGAACTGTACTTTGCTAATTCTAGCATCTCATCTTCATGGGTTTCATTCTGTAACTTTCACTAAAGTTTACTCAACTATTTATCTTGATTAAAAATGTTTAAAATGAACAAATCTTAAATGTACACCAGATGAATTTTTGTATTAGACACACACCTGTTTAATCACTACCCAGATCAACATGTGGGACATTTCCACGACTCTAGAATGTTCCACTAGGTCCCTTGTTGGTCAACTCCTTCCCTACCTCCAGGTAAACTTAACATGTCACCTTGACTGATTTTCCCTGTTCTTGACCTTCATGTAAAATGACCACTTTTAGTGATAAAGCTATGAACATTTGTAGATGTTTTCATTTCTCTTGGGAATCCCCCCTTCCCAAAACCACCCCTCCCCCAGTAATAATTCTGGGTTATAGAGTGGATATAGTTTTAAGCTTTCTTAGAAACTGCCTTTCCAAAGTAGCTGTGCCATTTTACATTCTCAGCAGCATGTATGGGAGTCCCAGCTGTTTGTACATTCTTGATATTGTCTAGTTGTTGCATGGAGGGCACTGTAGTGTTTTCTCATTTTTGGTTCAAATTTGTATTACTAATCATGCTAAGTATCCTTTTCATATGTTTATTTTTGTGGTAACTGTTCAAATCTTTTTTTTTTGGCATTTAATTATATATCCTGTCAGATACATTGTGGATATTTTCTTCCAGTACGTGGCTGCATTTTTTTACTTTTAATATCCTTTTAATATCTTTTTAATGCATTTTTGTGAATTCGAATCCCTGTCTACTCCAAGGTTGCAAAAGTATTTCTTTTAGAAGGCTTGCAATTTTCATTTTTACTTGTGTATGGTGAGGTAATGGTCCATTTTTCTTTATACCAATGTCCAGTTGCTCTAGCACACTTATTGGGGGTGAGGGAGACAGAAAAACAAAACCAAAAATCAGTATATAATTTAGGAAAAGTATAGATCAAAAAAGGCCACTAAAACACTTCAATAAGTTCATACAATGAAGATCAATCTTATTGGATAGTTTTGAAAGCTATGTAGCAGTTGAAAATGCGGTTTATCTTGACAATGAAAGACTCAAGGAGGAGTTATGAGGTGCTTTGGAAGAGTAGGGACCAAAAATAACAGAAAACAAGTCTAGCACTAAATTTTGATGGGTTGGATTTGATGAGCTCCTTTGAATTAGACTAGGTTTAGAATACTGGGTCTACCAACTAGTTTAGAAATCTGAGTCAATTCCCAGGAGAAAAGAAAATGGGTTATTTCTCCTGCTGGACTGCTAGAACGCTTTGATTTTAGTTTCAACCAAGAATGCCCCTCCCCTGATCAAATTTCTATCATTGTTTCAAAGCCCAGCAACCTTTTCAGATCTCCCTAAAAGAATCAATCACTACAACACTTCCAGAGAACATAGGACATCCCTGAGGCTCAATGGTACTGCAATTGAGAGCAGTGCACGTAAGACAAACTGAACCTAATGTTAAGTCTAACTTTCTATGATGTCACAATGATGCTTTGGGGAAAAAAAGAAAATCCAGTGGTTCTCCAGCTGCCTCAGGATATAAACTAAGCTCTATACAGATCAGCTTCAAAGACAGTTGTACTGTTCCAATTCACATCTGTAGCTCTATTTCTCATCACTTACCAATGTTTTATGCTGAGCCAATCCACACAGTTTCAAACGAAGTTTAAAAAACTGTCTCAGCATCATCCCAAGTGCTGATAAAAAAAAAAACCTAGTATAAACATGAGACTAATATTCAGAATACTCGTTAAAAAAGCCCAATTGTGACTAATATCCCTCTTAAGTATCACTTCTCTATTCACCCACTCTATAGGCTGAGAAGTCACATGAAATCGTTGTATAAACATAGCACTCTATGAATTTAAACTACTGAATCAATTCTAGGCATACTAAGGTAGCCGGCTGGTTTGTGCAATGCAAATATTAAGCAAATAAAACCATTTAACTACCATTTACTTAGCTTGAGTTTTACCAGTTGTATACATGTATACATAAGGCACACACTTGAACCTTAAAAAATCATAAACTCACCAATTCTGTCACAGCTCCTGATATTCAGCAATGAACACACATACACACAATTTAGACTGGAGACATTTGAGCTAATAATATCAACCACTACTTTGCCAAATGTCTTCACTCTACCCACTATTTCAGTCTTCAGTGGAAAGAGTACTGTTAGTAGGCTGAATGATTTCAGCTTTTCGTTAACTTTGAGAAATGGAATATGACAAATTTGTCCTGGTTTCCTCACCTACAAAACTGGGCGATAATTGATGGAAACTACAATTTGGGAAAACTGAACTAAAACAAAATAGACAAAAAGTAAAGTGGGTAGGTACTATTTAACATTTAATATCTATGTTACTGGTATTTCAGTGAAAATATGAAGATTAATTTGGTTATTCTAACAAATTCCCAGCTCTTTACTTTTAATTTTAAAATTCTTAGCTTTCCTAAAGGCTGAGACTACAACAAAAAAGCTACTGATGTCAAAAGGACATTATAACCTAGGGAGATATCAAATAACCTAATTTGGCTCCAATTTCAGATGTCCTTTACAAACTGCATGTTTTTATATGTGAAAAGTACAGGACTGAAAAATCAATAAACCTATGGAAAGTATAGAACAGAAATTTCTTACTGAGCTATGAGATAGTTATATTATTTGACCTTTTGATTAACAGATATAATTAGGTCTAGCAGATAGGAGCCTGACATTTACTTTGAAAATGGCAATGCACTTTTGTTCTATACATAATCTTAAGGAAGTGTGATTATATCCTCACCATACCAAAATATTAGGATACACTATTTTTTTTTTTTTTAGGCGAGGCAACCCTTGGATGACCTCACAGATTGCAAGGACCCTGTCAGATTACAATCCCTTATTAGTATTTTTTTTAACACCTACAGCACCTGGTCTTCCTTAGGATATATTATTAATAAAAAAACCAACACGCTGTATTTTCATAAGCATATTATAATTTTAAAAATTTTAACAATTCAAATAAAATTCAGCTAGTTAACATAAATACAGAGTAAATGCACATAATTTACAGCCATGTACATAAATGCAATAGCAACCCTCACATAAATGGTCAAAGATATCAACTCTTTTGAAGTTGATTATTTACCTACGACTGATAGGTCATAATTTAATTGTTCACATATGCGGGGGTACACATTCAAAATGTTTAAAACTAAAAACTGGGTAAACCTAGAATTTTCATTTTCTAAAAGGAGTAGCATAAAAAGCAGCAGCATATAGATTAACGAGAAATTTAAGGGCATGACAGAGAAGAGATCTAAGTGGGCAGAAAGTACATTAAATATTTTTATGTAATTAAAATTCCTTTTAATTGAAATCATTCAGAAATATCTTATTCTTAGAAATGTTAAAATCAGGAACAGTATTAGAGGAGGGAAAAGCTGAACTATTATTATTTTCCAGCCCAAAAAAAGTCCCTATAATACTTACAGTCTGGGCAGAAGAGCATGTAAACAAGAAGACAGGCATAAACAATGCTGGAAAAGTACAGACTGCTAGCATTTAAATCCTTTAAGTTCAAATCAGTATTTTTAGTGATTTAAAATAAACCTAAAAATGCTGACATGTTTCTGCTCCAGTAAGAGTAAACACTCATTATTTTGAACCCAAACTCTACTGGGTCCTAATATACTACTGCTATTCCACAGTGGGCATTAAGTTTTAGGAGACAAAAAGCTGAATTAAATAATCTAGTGATAATCTTGGTGTTGAAGTTACAAATCAATTACTTGTGGGCCCTATCCAATAAGGTTGGTTCTACAAAGTTACATACATAATAAGAAATAAGACAAAGCTTTGGTAATAAATGTACCTAAATTTAAAATCACTGTATGAGACGCCATAATGACCGGGTTGGCAATTCTCAGATTTGGACTTTGAAATTTAGGAATTTTTCTATTTTCTGTAGCCACAAGTACCAGAGTTCCATCTGCTGCTCTAGGAGAGTACGCTCTTTCAGTATCTACTGCTTTGACCTGAATAAGTTCAATTTAATTTTCTGAGAAAATTCTACAATAAAACTATAAATCAACCTGAAGAGTGCTGACTACCTCTATACTAGAAATAAAACATTATCTGATAGAAAATAGATGAAAACAAGTTTTTAAAAAAGTCCAATATTTTATGTATGTTTTTCTTTTTAAACATTTGCATCAATTAAAAAAAGATCTAAGAAATGTTTCAGGGACAAATTTGATAAATAACTTTTATACATAGTTTTCTTTTTTTAATTACCTCTGTCATAAAGAAAACTACAGCAGATGGCGCTTTGGGGAAAAAAAATTAAATGATGTTGCTCTTTTCCAATTGTTGCATAAAGAAACAAAGTCTAAGACTCTAGGATCCTTTCCTTCCAGTACATACATAAAACTCACTTTTAAAAGCTGAATATAATACACTAAAAGTCAACATAAATTTTACTTGCTAAATACAAACAGGAATAGAAAATACGTTCATCCTTGAAGGACACTTGATATGAATTTGCTACAACTGAATAATAAGATGTTACTTAGCTGCTGGTTTTCGCATCGTTCTTAATCATTTGTGGGGTACTGAGATCATAATGTTAGGGAGAGTTTCTGTCCTACATTCAATATAACTAATATTTACAGATCTTCACAAGGCAAATGGCACTGTATTAGGCAGTACAAGTGGCACCTGAAAAGGCAAGCACTACAGATGGAGAATTTCTCTACAGATTTAAGTTAGAAACCCCTGCTATTATTTTTTGGCATATTCCTCGCAATAAATGTCAAAGCTGAAATTCGCCATAAAAGTTATAAATAATCCCAAAGGTGATGAAACTGAATTTGCCTTTGGTCTCCAAATAGATTGAAATGTTTTTAATTTCAATCAAAGCACCTCAAAAACATCCAGCTACTGTTGATTCTAAGAAAGTTAGAAGGTGAGGAAATTTAAGAGGGCACTGTGTTTCATTGGTGATAGCAGAGAAAGCTTGCAATGACATGCTACAATTTCCTGTTAAGTCACTACAGTGTACACAGAATACTTAAAACATTTATATTAAAGATCTCCAAAACATACCTAAAGCCCAGAAAAATGTTATGAATACTGTTTCTGCCTAATACATGACCAATGTTTTAAAAATAACCTTAACGTGGAATTCTCCCCTATTCTTTCTAACCACCCCCAAAGGCCACAAAGTGCATTCACAGAGTCACTCTTAAGATAAAGCCATTGCACGAAATGTACAGTTCTGTATGTTGAAATGAGTACCACGCTGGAGTTTAATTGTAGAAGTTTTTTATACGAGTATAGCAACATCCATAAGCTAAAGTCTCTTAATAGAATTATAGCCAACATCTTCATAAGGGCTATACATATAATACATTTAAAGTATTAAAAGGTGCAGATGAATTCAACAGCCAAATGTAAAAGCTATATCCTGTTAGCACACTTAATCTGAATTATCTTGAATCTTTCTATGGATTTCCATCAAGAAACTAGGATAGAATACATTTCTTTACAAAAGCAGTTTGTTCATTTACAAATCTAAGTCAATTAGGATCATTACCTGCTCATCAGACAACAGAGGGCCCTCTTCTATGTTTGTACTACCCCAGATATTTATGTTGCCCTAAAGAAAAAAACTTTTAAGGGCAAAGCTGAAAATTACCATTTTCTCCACAAAATAAATGCAATCTATACAGATCTTCTGAAAATAATTCAAATGTTCAAATTCTTAATGTGAAAGCAAAAGAGATAGACACAAAAGTGGTCAATTTTTTCCACTTTAAGAAAATGATACTTAGGTGTGATATGTGATGACCCAAATTCAAAACTAGTAAATCACTGAAAAGACAACTGCATAAATTTAGAAAAGATATGAGGACATGCTCGAATTACTGAAATGGCCCAAAATCAACATTTTACTGGTTTATTTTGTCCCAAATGATTACCGTTTGAATTTGATATGTTAACAATTTAAGTGTCCACATGATGCTAAACATCAAGCACCTGTTAGCAATGGCAACCAAAAGATTTTAAAGATAAAAACATATAAGATATTTAGACACTATTTCATTAGTTGTCATTAGTTGTCAAAAACAGTGACTAATGCTAAATAATTAACTTTAAAATATTGGGCCAGATCCTCTCAAGGAAATGTGAAAATAATACTGAGGATCTCAATATTATTGTTGTTTTACAAGAATTACATAGAACCCAAAATTAGAAATTTATGACTGTCAATACTATCTTTGGATAGTTTATAGTATAGCACATAACTAGGGATGGCTTTGTTGAAAAGACTGAAAAAATACTCATGGAATAAACACTGACTGCCATAAACAAAATGCAAGTCTGACTTGTGGATGATAGAGAAAATGGCAATTTTGAGGAAGGAGTGCCTCTAAAGGCTTTTTCATGGAGGCAGCTGAGGTTTTTTCCCCCACATTACTGAAAGACCAAGTAATGTGATTATAATTACTTTAATTCCTAAAACCAGACTTCCACTTAGGTACAGTTACATGTTCCCAAATCATTTTTCTTCTGTCCATCATGCTGGCTTCGATACTCCATGGTCCACTGTAATCTTTTGGTCTTCCCTCTTTATAGTATGACAGCCTGATGTTGCTATCCGTTGAGTAGGTAGACCACCAATTCATAGGTGGCCATCATAATGGCTGTGTTGGGAATCTGTCTCACCAGATGAGTTGTTAGACCACGGTAAAGAGACCCATAACCTTCTTCTTGAACAACCAGAGATAGTGTCTGAAAAAAAGACCTATATTTTGTTCCCTCTTCACGCAGTCTTGTTCTTATGACTTCTGTTTAGGAAAAAAATTAAAGTCATTTTATTTAAACATTAGTGATATCTTTATATATTCCTAATACTGTTACCTTCAAGTATAGGCTTAGGATAAAGAAGGGATTTTTAATGTGTAACTTACTGAACCCAGTCACATTACAACACCACCAAACTTCTAAGATAGCTGGCTAAAATCATGTATACTCGTTATAAAATGAATATACGTAAAAAACAAGCAGGAAAGATTTTTAAAAAGTGGACTTTACAATGAGAAAAAAGAATTAGTAATCTAATCACAATGCGGTCCACATACCAAGATGAAATTTCATGTAGAAGAGGTAGAAAATGTTAAAAATATAAGCTTGCCAGCTAAAAGGCCCTATCTAGGAAGGAATTAAGCAAAAATCATAAAATTTTAAAGCTAAAAAGGATCTTAAAGATTACAGTTAGTCCAATTTTTCATTTTAAAAGGTGAGGGAATGGGACTATTGAGAGGTTTTTGTCAGTTGAGGGGAGAGGAAGGGACCAGAATTCAGAGCTTCCAACCAAAGACTATTCTTTTCACATTCATTATTTCTCAGACTTTTTCAATACACTATTCTTGATAGGCCTGAGAGAAATGGCCTAAAGCCATTTTCACTACGAAATGTTAACACTCAATCTCATGTCCTGCCTTAATAATTCATGCTACTTATACATTCCAACCCAAAATATTGTTTATAACCTGTACTTCTTGTAATACACCATCTCACTTGAAGGGACAGGATACTTAAAACTCCAAACCTCTTTCACCTTAGCAGGCCACCATCCTAATCCTTCCATCAGGAGGCCAGGACCTAAAACAATGCTGCTGACACTATCCTCTTGTGACTTCTTTTAAAGAAGTTACGACTTCCCTCAGGAAAACTGGGGTAAGCTCAGTCCAACTTGGTTAGAATTGGTTTTATTCACAAATTACATTTTAAAGCAAATATTTCCTAGACCGGTTTAATTTTTCCTGATACAGCTTTAACCACAGAGCCTTAGCTTTACAAAGGTGAATATAAATGTTAATAACGAGTGTGACAAAAGTGAAGCACTTCAATTAAAAACCCAAACCAAAGTAAACCTCAAGCACACCAAAATCAAAGGCTACACTTAGGAAGTCAACAAAGTTACAAAAAACAAAAACAACAACAACAACAACAAAAAAACAACCAACCAACAAATAAAACCCCTCATCATGTTGCAGACCAATTTTTAAGTGATTTTCTTAGCTATTTATGAAACAAGCTGATATTGTAAAACTTAAACGCAGAAATAAATCATTTATATATACTTATTCATCAACACGAAATGATGGTAAAATCATTTGGTGTTTGGGATTAGACTTCAATTCAAATTTGGGCTCCATCACTGAGTAAACTATGCGACCTCAAGCAAGTTAATTTTAACAATTCTTATTTCCCACTTGAAAATGAAGGCAGTTCTGGTTATATTGTAGCATACCTAGATTTTGCAGCATTTTTATGTAGATTAGCGATGATGTATTCAAAGTATCTAGTATACCACCTACATCCACACTTTAAAAAAAAATAAAATAAAAACTTGCCCAGTCACCCAGCTGCAATCTGATTGACTCCAGGGTAAAATTTGTCCACAGCTCATGATAAATCACCACCATGGTACTAACAGCATATACTGACCTCTTAAAACTGCTTTACATTACTTATACAGATTAATTCCATTATGAGGAATTCCTAAGAATGGTATTTTGTTATACTGAAATTCAGTAAAATTATAAATGCTCTAATAATAAGGCATCTATTGGTTGGGGTGGGAGAATATTTCTGAATTAATAGAACATTATATAAATTCAACTCCTCTTACCATGTGGATATGCTATACTTGTGGCACAAGTTTTTGAGGTGGCAGCAGCTAGCATCATTCCCACAAAATCTGATGCTTCTTTTACAGACTCTTCATCATTTTCCATTGTAGAAGCAATCTTATATTCCAGGAGTTTTTGCTTAATACTTTCATAAATAACAAAATGGATAACAGTCTCTGATATGCCTGCATATGAAGCGGACATGCCTCTATAAAATCCTCTAAGTCCATCTGTCCGATACACTTTACGAACACATTCAAAAGCACCCATTCTCTTTTCCCCACGATTCCTGAAAAGCAAAACGGAAAAATCTGTTTAATGTAAATAAAGTAGTACAGGTTTTTAAATAAAGTAAACAAAATATAGTAGACATATGCCACTCTACTTAATAAAGAATGATTCTCTTTAATGTATGAAGAGGTGAAATCAGAATTTAAAAATATTCATTTTAGATTTCCTATTCTTTGTCCAAACTTTGTCATATTAGGTGGGTAACATAAAGTAGTTTATTTTACTGAATGCGAAATATACTACACTGAATCTTTAGTTTCACATCCTCATTGAAATTTGTACTGTAGAGATAACGAAATCCTTTATAGTCCAAATATACTGTGACCACAGCTCAAGATAAAAACAAAACAAACAAAAAACACTCAACATTATATTAAATCCAGTTCTAAGTTGAGAAGATTTCTTTTGCATTTAATTACATATAAAAAGAATGATTGAGACGCCAATGATTACAGTACATCACAGAGGCAAAGAACAGGATTAACTGAATTTCTGTGCACCTGAGGGATTCTTCCAACCCCACCTAGTTCTTCCCAAAAAGTGGCCTGGTGAATTTAAGAAAAACTTCCTAATATTCTTTGAAGACAATGGTCATATCTTTATTTCAGTATCCTAGTGAATACAAGAATATAGAGGACCTCTACAGTTCTCAAGTATTTATTGAATATTAGGCCCAAGAAAATGTCCCCTAGTGCTATTTAAAGGCACAGCATCTCTTCTTACGTAAGTATATAATTTTGAGTTTGTAAAAATATGTATTACCTTACACTATGATTCCCTCAACAGAACCCCATC